AAATCAATACTTGCTGAATTGAATAGATCATTGGTGAGAATATAATCCCATTTTTATTTTCTCCTCTGTGCTTTCTTGTACTTTTAAAATTACAATGATCATGTGATACTTTTATAATAAAAAGAAAATCATAAAAAGAGCTTTTCCTTGCCTTTGAGGCTGCAGCTGTTCTCTGCAGAGCCTGCTGCCTTTGGCGCTGATTCCTCTGACGGCTGAAGTTCTAGGCTAACTTAGGCCATGGAACTTGATTTTGCTGCATTGTCTGAAATTCTGTCCCAGCCGGAAATATTCTTCCCTGCCCAAATCCTTTGGGTTATTCGCCACAAAGCAGTTGACTTGGACGCCTGCTGTGCCCTCAGGTGCACAGCCTGGTGGCTCTCATGACTCAGCAGATGACCCTTTGACAAAGCAGCAGACTAAACCGACCTGGCAGCTAATCAGGAGACAGTGGGATTTTATGGAGAGCCGAGTCTTGCTGTAGTGTCTGAGGACATATCTCTTGGCATGAAACCCTTACACATCACTCCACTCCACTCCCCTTTCTTCAAAAGAGCTATAGTCATTATGGCTTTTCCCGTTGAGTCAAACCTATGCTTTTTCAGGGAATTAAGACGAGTGATTTAATGGTTTCAGCTTGAGACTCAAGTTCTTCCTTTCTTCCTACAAACTGACAGCACAAATGCAATTAGGGTTGTAGCTAAGCGAGAGTAATTCCTCCATATGGCGCTTCAGGTGGCATTTAAGATATTTTTAATACTTCTGTAGGCAAGTTAAAAAAATCTTGTCAGTCTGCAAACATTTTACCAGCCTCCACAATGTTCACCTACGCATTGCCACATTACAAAGATAATCTGTCATTTCAGATCCTTTTCGGATTGAGATGGGGAATAAACAAATGTGGAGGGTGCATCAGAAGAGACTGAGCCCCTCCATCTGGAGAGGCATCGATCTGGTGGTTTGAGTCAGGATTTTCAATTCTGACTTTTCCTTGGCCCAATTTATCTTTCCTCAGGCTGTCAACCCACAGGAAGCGACAAAGTTGCAGCACAAATCTGTTTTCCTGTGTCTTGGGTCTCTGGATATGCTGCAGAGATTGGCATTTTGATGTCATTAAGAATTTTCAGGAAATTTGGGGGTGATGAGTAGCTGGTGATGGATAGAATAGCATCTATATGAGGACGAATGTGGCAGCAGGCATGTTGCTTTCATCTGGCGTTGAGATGAAAAGCTGATTACACAGCTGAGGGCAAATGAGGTGGAAACATCTTGGAGATTAGGTTTGCTCCCAGTGTCCTACATTTCAGAGGGAGGTAATCACCGGTTTCACGTTTACTGTTTCCCATGGACGGCCTTTCTCTCCCATAGACTGTTTGTCTTGGGGCTGAAATAAATATAAAATCTATCCCAGAGAAGGTTGCTTGTATAAACTTAGTTCAGTCAAGACAAAGAAGGACATTAGCAATAGTGGTCCTGTGACAGGCACTCTGGGGATAACTTTGTCATCCTCCATCTGTGACAGATGAGGACACTGAGATCCAGATTGGTTAAGGTGATTTGGGCTGGGGACATAACATCTGTAGTCTGATGAAATGTTGGGCTTTTTCTAGAATTATTTGTTATGCTGTCATATCCTGTCAGAGCACAGTCCTTCCTTGTGGGAGAGCAAAGTCCATTCCCCTCCCTTGGGAGTGCCCACTCTTTCTATTCCTGTTTCCTTCTCACCTTCCAGAATTCACTTTGAGTGTCTAGTTACCGTTTTCCCACCAGCTGGTCTCTCCTTGACATCCACACGTGGGATCTACAGAGCCCCATTCCCAGACATCAGCTCTTGGGTCAACGAAACTCCTGGCCCCTGACTGGTCACGTAATGGGAAGATGGGACTCTGAGGCCACAGATGATGTCACCTGCCACATCCCATCTTTTTTCCTGCCTAGATTGGAATACTTCCAAATGGAGCCACCAAAATGTTTATGTTTTTTTCTCTGCATCTGGTTCTCTGCTTCATTTTTGAACACCTCTTCTGATTTTCTAGGTCACACACTGAAGTCATGCACCTCAGGGAAGGGCAGAGATTCTTTTAAGTTAATTAAATTAAATTTAATTAAACAAAGCAGACCATTTATTATATGCAAGGCATTGTGGGCTTTTCACAGCCAAAAAAAAGTAAACCACAGCCAATCCCCGCCTGCAAGTGGTGTTGAATCCAGAGGGGGAAACCATATGTCTGCCACCCTTTCAAAGGGACAAGGAGATAAGAGAAGTACACACAACATGCAACAGAAGCACGGAGCTGGAAATGAACTCTTGAGAGGAAGTGAGCGAAGGCTTCAGGGAGGAAGTGGCATGTGAGCTGGAGCTTAATGGTGGAAGGATCTGTTTGTTCCGTTCTTTGAAAGGAAGCACTTGGCGGTTGAACTATGACACCGGGGCTTTCATTGACTGTAGAAAGTCACAATGAGTAGGACTTGGAAGCTCCAGGTATATGATAGGATCCATCTGAGATTGGAACCTGGCTTACGTTTCTCTTTCTCCCCTTCTTCTAGATAAGGGATGGTTTAATCTTTTGAGAGAAGTTGAGAGTCAGTGATGTGTGGGTAAAATGTTTCCTGCTGTTGCAAGTAACGGCAGAAGTGTAAGTGAACATGCAGACATTCCCCTCCCCCTCCCTCTCCTCCCTTTTTGTCCCCAGTCTAAGGTCAGGAACAAACCTCTTTGGGCAGTAAGCTTCTGGAGTTATTAAATGCATTTCACACAGGCTAAACTGTCCTTCTCAAAACTTTAGCGCATAGGAATCACCTGGGGTATTTTATGAAAATGCAGATTCCAATTCAATAGATCTGGAGTGGACCTGAGATTCTGCATTTCCAGCAAGCTTTCAGATGAGGTCAATCCTGCTGATCTTCTGACCACACACTGGAGTGAACGTCACTATCCCATTTTACTAAGAGTGAACCAAGAGGTAAATGAGAGGTCGGGAATGGATGGAAAATTACATGAAATCCTTCTACCTCCCACTAGGGGCTTAAAAAGAGGACATGTAAACACCACATGAAGCCCCAACTAGGCAGGAACTATTTTTTGTATTTTCCTGGTTCCATTAGAAAGTAGGGTAGTCTGATAAACAAATTGCCCAAATTCAGTTTTTTAAAATTCACAGGCATTGCATGTATATTTCCTGTATTTCAGAGAGGGATGCATTTCTGTGGGGATCATCAGAGAGAGCTTCTTTTCTCTCTTTTTTTTTTTTTTTTGAGGAAGATTAGCCCTGAGCTAACTGCTGCCGATCCTCCTCTTTTCACTGAGGAAGACTGGTCCTGAGCTAACATCCGTGCCCATCTTCCTCTAGTTTATATGTGGGATGCCTACCACAGCATGGCGTGCCAAGCGGTGCCATGTCTGCACCCAGGATCCGAACCAGCCGCTGAAGTGGAACGTGCGTACTTAACCGCTGTGTCACAGGCCGGCCTGCTTCTTTTCTTAAGAAGGCAGCATGATGTACTGTAAAAATTTGGGCCTCTGGGTCAGAAAGATTTGGGATTAAGACTTTTTTCTCAACTGTGCCACCTCAAGTGAGCTATTGTTCTCTCTAGTTTCAGTTTCTTTGTCTGTGAAATGGGTATAATACCTATCCTGTTGGGTGGTTGTGAATCTAGCAATTATGTTTCTAAAGTGATCTCTTCAAGTCTGACCCAGATTGTGTGTCCTCAACTAAACTGTGCTTCTCTGAGGTCAGGAAATGAGTTTTACTAGAATGAATATCCTCAGTATCTAAGATATATTAGACACTTAGTAACTGTTTATTAAACAAGGAGCTTATACAACCCTAAATGTCTATACCATTAACCTGGTAATTAGTATATACTTTTGTATTGATCTATAACCTTTAACTTATTTATATTTTGTCTTTAGAAATAGACTCTTTAGGAAAATATTTTTCTTCTTCTCATTTGACTTTAAACCACCTGCTATACACTTCTCCTTCCCAAATTTAGAGTAAGTACATATTTCTGGATTTGATTAAAGGTCAGGATAGGATTTATGAAACTCTTCTGAAAGCTGTTGAAACAATGCTGGAATAAAACTTTGGGTTATCATCCTCTTTTTCCTTTCTAGGACTACACTCTTATGGCTTTTATATTAATTTGTTGGTTTACATTAAGAGATTCCTACATCGATTAAAATCTAGTTAGACTCAAGCCCTGGAAAAATTACTCCCGTCCCATCAAATCACAGCTCCCTTCTATGAGCAAGGCCGACTTGCAATTGCTCCTAACACATTTCAGAGGTGATGCTTCACTCTTGGAAGTGCATCTCAAGCTGCAGTTTCAAGAAGTGACTAGTGTGGGAATTGGGTCCCTTTGGGATAGTTCTTCAGGTTAAAAAAAAAAAAGCTTCAAAGAAATAGCGTTGTGTTAATGCTTCTGGTTCTTCTAACTGATAACGATGGGCTTTAGACAGAAGTATTGACTTAGTATTAACTCCACTCCTACCTAATTACGTGACCCTCGGACAACTACTTGACCTCTCTGAGCCTCAGTTTTCTTACCTGTAAGGTGGAATTTACACAAGGTAGATGTATAGATTGAAGAAGATATACATATATATAAAGTGCCTATCAGTTTTGGCTAATATCATGAGTAAGAATAAACCAGAGTTCCCATAAGCTATTATTTCTAGAAAAAAAATCTGAGGGAAAAAAATCACTTTAAAACATCTTCCCAATTTTTTTTTCATTTATTTATTACTTGAAAGCAGAATCTGCTCAGGATAGAATTCTCTTCTTAGGTACCAGATGCATGACAAATTTTGCATTTATCAGGGAGCAGATTAAAGGCAATGACCTTTCCTGCCTACCTACTTGGAATAGATTCAAACGCCACCCGAATCATAGCCCAAATCACAGTATCATTAAGGCTTCACATCTCTTACGACAGGTTTGAAGGTAGTTCATTAATCTCAGCAATGATTAGACACTCATTTGGGGGCAAAATAGTTTTACCTTGGTATCATGGTGTACACGGATTCACCAGCACAGAATGAGTGGCAACACTGTCTTGAACGCTACAGTTTTCCAGCAATCAGGTAGCCTCCAATGCGAGGCCGGGGCCTTTTGACGTCGGGACTCAGTCTTCCTTTCCCGGATCGCCGAAGGTCCTAGCTCATTTTTTCACCCAAACTTATTTAGCTCTTAACTCCAAGCAGTCAAATTAATTTACCTGCCGGGGGTTCTGGTTAAAGAGCTACCTGGAGGCGGATTTGGGGGTATGGGGAGACTAATATAAGGGTTTGGATTTACACGTGGATTCTACTTCTTAAGCCTTCCTCCTTTGCTCCTTTTAGCAGTTATGATCGAGAATGGCTAGGCTGGGTGTGCAGAGGCAAGGTGCGCTGACCAGACCACCGGAGCGGTACAGCCATACTGAGTCTCCAGGGAGTGGGAACCTCGGGAATCGTGGTCGTCTGGGACCTGCTCCCTTCCCCCCACCGCTTTGACTCAGTCCACATCCTGCGCTGCGAGAGGTGCCCGGCAGGAGGGAAGCTGAGGACAAGGAATAGGGGAATGGTTGCTGCCCAGGCGGTCCCCCTTGACCTAGCCTAGCGACCACCGCCTCCAGCCCAGCTGCCTGGATTTGCGTTGCCCAATAACCTCGCAGCACCCTGCGGGCCCAAGCGGCTCCGCTGCTGATTGGGCGCCGACGTCCCCCGACCCACCTTGCCATCCGCCCACCCCTGGCGCCGCTGCACGTTCCCATTGGTCATCAGCCACGCCGATCAATTCACAGCTTGCCTCCCCCAAACAGCCCGTCGGGCCGGCGCGTGCTAGGGAGGCGGGGTCTCGGGGCTGGGGGCGGGGCCTTGGCGGAGGCTGGCGCTGAGGCCGCTTTGGGCTCTGTCTCTGGACTCGAGCGCAGCATCCTCGCCGCAGCCGCTACGGCTGCTGCACCTGGTCAGGTAAAGAGAGCCTCGTCTGTCTTGCTGGCAGTCTGCCCCGCCTCTTCTCCTTCCCGACCAAAGGCTACCTGCTCCGCCTGCCGGGTCTTCAGGGCTCTCGGAAAAAGGCATCAAATCTTTTGCCCGGTTACCTTACCTTCTTCCGTTTCTGCGTCGGTTCCTCAAGCTCCAAAGTGCGTTGGTGGGACCCCCCGGCTCACCTTAAGGCTCCTCACTACAGAACTGTAGTTAAGTCTCAGGTCCGAGTCCCTTTGACCCGCCGCTGCAGTCTCATTCCCAGCTTGGCACAGGAAGGACGGAAGGGCGGGCGAGGGAGGGAGGGATGGATACAGCGCTTTATTTTGAAGCTGGATGTGTTTAGTTCAGAGGGGGAGCACCTCAGTGGGGTTGGTTTGGGAACAGAAGCTGCTTCGTGATTGACTGGCAATGACTAGAAGGCTATCTGGTGCTGCTTTCTGCTTATATTCATAGGTGACATTCACCAACACTGTTTCCTTCTTTCGTCATCATCATCACCACGACCACCACCATCAACATTTCCTTCCTCCACCAGAGCTCTTCAAGTTCTGCAAAGACAGACTCAGTTCAGGCATGTAAGTGCTGATGCCCCCAAATAACAATCAGTGCCCTTGCACCCTGAAGCCAGAGCCAAGTCCTTACTTAACTCAAGGACAAGTAGCTGGAGCAGGTTGTGAATGGGGGAAGTTTCCGTATCCCCATTTGCAGTTGAGATTACCACAGAGAACGCTTTGTTTTAGGCATCCCCACTGCTGCTTGCTGACTCCTGGAGAGTTTGACTTTGGCACTCACATGCTTCTGATGGGCTAAAGGCAGAGTCCAAGACCAGTGGTATAGACTGTGCAATTTGGGTGCTTCAGTCATGGAGAGGTGAATGCCCAGACCCAAGCCTTTAAGAGGACCAAGTCAAGTAGCTTGAGATCTGACTTTCTTCCAGTATGGCTCCAGTTGTACCAAAGCATGATCGGTGTTTACATATAGGGTGTGTGTCATCATGGACAATGCCACCTTGGGCGATCTAAGTTCCTGGCAGAGAGAATTATGTTGTGTGGTCTACAGCAAGTAGCATCTTACGGGCACACCATTGGGATTCAACAGCCATTGCTCAGCTGTTCTTAGGGCTTATTACAAGATTACTTGGATCTCAGACTTATTAACCCTTTTTCAGGAGGGAAAACTGAGAGTTACATACCAGATTACCTGTTATTATAGAAGATATTGCTTTAAAAGTGTTATAAAAGTTCTACTTCTTCTTGGACAGAGAGAGCTAACCCTTAGTATCCTTTTTCCCAACTGTGTTTATAGCCCAGTAGTAGGACCAATGAGTAAAATGCGGTTAGATATACTGTAGGAACTAAGGAGTAGTGGCCTCACTGGAGAGAAACAAGGGATAAAAGTTGGGAGACGGTGCATCATAATGATTAAACTCATAAACCTGTCACATGGGCTCAAATCCTGGACCAGTCACTTACTAGCTTAATGATTTTGGCAAGTCATTGACCTTTTTGAACTTTAGTTTCTTGTTTGTAAAGTGGGCATAGTATTACCTGCCTCATAGGGGAAGTCTTAAGGACTAAATGAGATACTATAAAATGCTTAGTAGTTCCTGGCACAGAGTAAGTGGGGAGTGAATGGTAACTGTTACTAATAATACTTGCCCACAAGGAAAATAAAGGCAAGTATTCTGTCCCTAAAATGTGCATTTTTTTCCCCATTATCTTTCTCCATCCTTTTTTGGTCTTACAGCTGATGCTAATGAGGGATGGCAGTCTTCAGGTTCCTCACAGCACTCTGTCTTAGAGGGGTGGCACTGGTTGAAGCCACCTGTGTTTGGACAGACATTTTTCTCACCAGCCTGTGCAAATGCTTAGCAAGCTCTATTAAGATGCATGAAAGATGCAGCTTTAGAGATGATTGCGGGGCCTCTGGGCCTGTCCCAGGCTGCTCCTTTCTCCTTGGCTGTCCAGTGTACTGACTTGGTAATTGTGCGTTTTACAGAATGACTAGTGAATGCATTGGCTTCTGCCCAGGGGAAGCAAAAAAACTGCTTTTCTTCAAATTTCCCTGGGAATTGAAGAAAGTCTGACTTTCGAGCCTGAAAAAACTTGTGTTTTACCATATTTTTCTTGTCTAAGAAGAATATATTTCTCTTTGCCCTTGTAGAAAACAGCAAGCAATTACTGAATAGCTATGTGGTTCAATTTTCTCATTTAGAAAGAGAGGTTAACTGTCTTATCTGCTCTTTGGGGCCACTTTGAATTTTAGAGTATATTGTCGACTATTTTAGTTAGGATTCTTTCTGTTGTATGGGACAGGAATTCAGCAGAAAAAAATCATAAGCTAAAATGGGCATTTTTGGCTAACATAACCGAGCCATGACCAGACTCTCATGTCTTGGGAAGGAAGCTGGTCTACCCGCAGGCAGGTCCTGAGATTCAGATGCTTTTCTGGTTGCTAGCCTGATTTCTGTCTCTTTGTCTCTGTCTGTCTCTTTAGGTCTGTCTTTTACTTCTGCTCTTCTTTCTCTGTCTTGGCCTTACTCTTTGCTATCACAGACTTTTTCCTTTCAGTGGCTTCTTAAGCTCTAGTTTCATGTCCATCTAGCTCTGTGACCCAAGGAGAGCTTTCTTCTCCTCTAGCTCCAAAGTGAATCCTAGGAAAGAACTGTGATTGATCAGTCTTCGGTCACAGGCTTAACCTTGCCTAGAATGAATACCTTGGCTAAGGGAATGGGGTCCTATGAGTCTCATGATTGTCTGGGAGTGGTCCTTATATCCTTGCCTTCCTCCCTCTCCGGACAGAAAATTGGTGGATCTGCCCCCAAAGGAAGAGGAATGGGAGGAATGAGAGTAAACATCCTTCATTGAGGGTTCAGAAGCCCTTCTCTCCTACCTCACATATAGTGACTCAAAGTCTAATTTTATATGAAAGCTTTGGACTCATGCATGTCATCCCAGGCAGTGGTATGTTTTAGATGATCTTGCCTTTAATGGTTTTCTTATTAAAACTTTACTTGCGTAATTGTGAATATTTATCAGAGATATTTAATAATAGACAGTGATTGCACTGTTGGTAGATAGTGTTTGGGGGTTACTCAGAATTTCTTGTTGGGATTTTGTTTTAACAGGAGCTATTATTTTTAGAGGCACATAGTCTCCATGTTAAAAATCAGCTTTATTCTCAGCAGGTCTCAGCCTGTGTGTTGACAGAATTACAACCATTAATCTGATTTGCTTGATCTTGTAGAGATGCTAAACCATGGGAATTGTATCCTTGTGGAGCAAATAGGAGCTTGCACCAACAGGCTGGCCTTGCAAGGGAATTGAAACAGCCCTGTGTTTAGCATCTGTGCAGAAGTGCTGACAAAGCAGTCATCTTGTGCCCTGTAATATAAAAGTTACTAAAGTGGGAAAAGGGAAAGAAGGCTACAAACCTCCTTTCCTTGTCAACATGTTAAAAAAAGCCAGGCTCTGGGAAATGGACTATCTCCTCCCACTTAGGTTTCTCAAGTTCTCTGGCTAGATGTAAACATCTCCCTGAGTAATCTGTGTTTCTGTAGGCTTTGAATATATAATGCCATAGTCTGTGTATGGGGCTGAGGCAGGAGGAAGAGTTGGTATTCCCTTTGGGTCACCTTACTTCACTACTTTCCTGAAATGCTGTCTGTAATTCACCTCTGCAGGAAGCAGGCCACTGGCTAGGTTTTTTGTTCTTGCTTTTATTTTGTTTTTTTTTGTGTGTGTGTGTGAGGCAGATTTACCCTGAGTGAACATCTGTTGCCAGTCCTCCTCTTTTTTTTGGCTTGAGGAAGATTAACCCTGAGCCAACATCCGTGCCAGTTGTCCTCTACTTTTGTATGTGGGATGCTCCCTGATGAGTGGAGTAGTCTGCACCCGGGATCTGAACCTGCAAACCCTGGGCTGCCAAAGTGGAGCATGCAGAACTTTAACCACTTGGCCACAGGGCCGACCCCTTGTTTTTGCTTTTTTTAAACCAATTCGTCTATTTCCTTAATCAAGACTAACCTGTATTGTGTTCCATCATATGGGGGCGATACCTGTTTCTCTTTTCTAAAGTGTCGTGGTTCATTGGTAAAGACCAACATCTTTCAAAACACTTTTTTGCCTTGGTCTTCTGAGTCACGTGCTTTTGGGGGAACTATTTTGGAGGTAGACAGGACTTTTTTAGAAAAAGAGAAAAATAGAGGTTTATTAGCATGTATATCACACTTATACATGGGAGCACCCAGACATGGGTAGCTCCAAGGGGTGGTTAGATCATGGGCTTACATGCCATCTTAGGTTAAAGGAAAAGGAGTTTTGGGCTTCTGGGGAGGGAAGTTATGGGAAGGCGACCAGGAAAAGTATGGTAGACAAGGGTTGTTTAATAAGGTTTGTTATGCAGGTTTAAGTCTGTGCCTTTTCCATTGATAAGAGTTCTTAAGTGTTCTTACTCTTCTTGGCGTAGGAGAAGGAGCCACCTTTTACAAATTGAAATTTCCTTCATAAATGTAAGTTGCCTTAAGAAGGAAAACATGTGCACTGTTTTTAGAGCTTTTTCTGCATCTTGGTTCTTATGGCCTTTAGCTCAAAATAATCCATATGCCAAAGAGGCATCTTTTGCTGTAGTATTTTCCAGTACCCCTCATTCTGCCCTTTGAAATGTCTTTTTTTTTTTTTG